AAAAAAAAATTAAATCCTGGATCCACCACTGGGTACACCTGAGTAGAGCACTCGTGAAATATGTTGATTAAAATACTTTAACTCTTTATAAAATTGATGTTATCTTGTGTTTAAAATAAATATAAATAAAAACAGTAAAAAATATAAAATATGGCGATAATATATTTTAGAAATCTCTTAAAACCAGATAACACAGTAATAATATATATATATATATATATATAGTATATAAGAACAATTTATCATCTAACTTGGTAATATTATTTACAAATAATTAAAATCAAATCAATTAATATTAAATGGTTATTCAGGTACCTTAAATTTGAAGTTTAGTCGCATTTAAGTTAACTACATTTCAAATGAATTTACATTGTATGTTCTGTCTTAATCCTAAATCCAATAATGGAGCTATAATGTATACATTATTCTTCTTACACGTTTTTGTCATGCAAAAAAAGCTTAATAATTGATTGAATAAATTAATAAAAAAAAAAAAAGCAGAGCAATACAAGAACATATTGTAATACTAATACATTTTTAACAAAGTTTGTTCAATTGAGCTCCTTTGAAAATAATTTTTTTTAATGCTTATAGACTATAAATTATGTACAAAACTTATTTTTATCCATTTAAGCAGCACTGTTATCATGATTTATGTAAAATATGAGTAAAAATGTAACAAAATAAATATATTATATTGTATAGATGAGAAAATAGAGAATAAGATAATTAATAATAGTTGTTAGAAATATGAAAAATTAAAAAACTATGAATCAGCACTGCCAAAGTTCATAGTTCTTCTTCTTTTTACTTGTGGTACATAAAAGTGACTACTACTTTCAACTACTTTTTCTGAGAGAATAGAATTTTTGCTAACATCAATTTCAGTTTTTTTAGCACCATTAAAACTAGGCTCTGGTTTTGAATAATGATCTTTTATAGTTATCAACTGAACACGTCTTCCTTTCTTTGTTTCTTGTTTATCGTCAGAAGTTGAACGCATTATTACTTTTCTTCTATTAGAATGTCTAAAAACARACCCTTGTTCAACTTCAATATTGATGGATGGTATAACAGCTTTATCAGTGGGACTTGTTTCAACAGATGTATTTTTAGAGGAACTTTTACAAGAATTATTTAAATGTTTAGATTCTGTTAAACTATCAGCACATTTAAGGGTATCTAAATTACATTTTGATTGATTATTTTTTTTTTGAGATGGACTAGATGGGTTTTTATCATTATTAATCGACAAAAATTTAACATTCTCAGGGGACTTGTTAAAATCATTGTCGATTGAAGAACTCATATAAGTAACACATGCACGTTTTCCCACATTGCTTAAATCAATACAATTTCTATCCTTTTCTATTACTGTTTTTCTTCTTCTAATAGGAAATTGTTCAACTTCAATATTTATAGACGATACTTGATTTTGATTTATTTTTTCACATGTGGGTAATTTTTGATTACAAAGTATGTCTTTTGAAAGTTGTTTATCATCCATTTTTGAGTCATACTTATTCTTATAATTTTTAATACATGGTTCCTGAGTGATCTTCTTGAATTTGTTTACAGTATTATTGTCGCTTTCTAAAACTTTTGTTTTTCTTACAGCTGGAACTTGTTCAACTTCAGTATTATTAGACAATATTTGTTTTTGGTTTTCATAAGTAGATAACTTTTGGTTATGAAGTGTATCTGTTGAAAGTTGTTTATCATGCGTATTTGAGTCATACTTATTTTTATGATCTTTAATACATAATTCTTGGGTGACTTYATTAGATTTATTTAAAGTATAACTWTTCCTTTTTAATGCATTAGTTGTTCTTGTAATTGAAACTTGTTTATTTTCGATATTGGTAGATGATACAACAGATTTATTAGTGGGACTTGTTTTAGTAGTATTTTTGGAGGAACTTTTACAAAAATTATTCAAGTGTTTAGATTCTGATATACTATTTGCACAACCAAGGATATTTAAATTGCATTTTGATTGATTATTCTTTTGTTGAGATGGACTTGATGATTCTCTATCATTATTCGTAGACAAGCATTTAACATTTTCTATTGAATTGTTAAATTCATTGTCATTTGATGGATCCAAATGAGTAACAGTTATTTGTGAACATTTTTTCGTATTAATTAATGCAAGAGTATTACTATCCTTTTCTATAACTTTTTTTTTTCTTCTAATAGGGAATTGTTCAACTTCAATATTTATAGATTGKGTTTGATTACTTTTTTCAGAAGTGAATAATTGCTGGTTATGAAGTATGTCTGTAGTAAATGGTTTATCTTCTATTTTTGCATCATATTCAGGAAAACTACTTTCAATAGATGTCGGTAGACCATCTTTACTTAAAGATTTTATTATTGGTTTTTCAGGTGAATTAGTAATCTCAGATTGTGTTGTTGAAGCTAAACAGTTTATTTGGTTTATTTTTTTAGCACATTTCAAAGTTTTAGCTGTATTTAGTGTATTATGAACACCAATAGTAGCTGGAGTTATGATTAATTTTTTTTTCAATTTGGCTGGTTGTTTTAATTTTGGACCAAATGAATCTATGGAAACATTTTCTTTATTTTTCTCTTGATTGTTACATTGAATAACTTGAGTAATATCAAGTTCACRGTCACTTGGTGTTATATCGGGTTCAAAAATTACTAGTGTAGAATTAATAATATCTTCAGATTCATTATGAATAGGAGAAGTTGAAATTTCTTTTAATGTATTTTTATCGTTATTAATTTCTTCATTTTTATCTTGCATTATTTTATCATTAGTATTTTTATTTTCTATCTGTTCTGTCTGATTTTTAGGTTTGATGGTATAATTTTGTTGAGCTAATTTTTGACACATTCTTTTATAATAAACTGTTTTAGGAATATCATGGTTAGGCTTGATGACAATGGTCGTAATATTATCATTATTATTTTGATTTGGTACTTTTGTATCTTCTATAGTATTCTTAATTTGTTCTGTATTCTTCTTGCTTTCAGATAATTTATTGACTTTAGTATTTTCTATTTGAAAACTATTTGTAGAAGAAAACATTTTTGATGTGGATGGCAATGGAACAATTTGACTAAATGTAATTAAAAAAATTATTATTAATAAACAATAACGTGATTTCTTTGTAAAATTACAAAATTTTATTTTTAAGTACCTTTTGCGGAGATCATCAATCATTTTATCCTTTCTTTGGATTTCAATGCTAGCAGTTTTATATAATGATGTAATATTTTTAGTCAATACTTTATTGACAGTTTTGAAATGATTATTTTCACTTTCCAATTTTTGTATACGTTGTTTCAATTCTTGAACAAATGTTTTTAGTTTTGTAACTGAATTCTTCAACTAAAAATTAAAGCATAATAAAACAACACACATAGATAAGTAGTAATATTATTATCTATATAACTATAATATGAGGTGTATTTAAAATAAATCATTAGGCTTACACAAAGATATAGAGATATAACATATAGAATTTAGGAATAACAAATCAGTAGAAAAAATCTATAGCATGACCGCCGTTTTAAATTTTTAGAGGAAATATAAATACATTATTTTCACAATGTTGTAAGGTATTGTGTGCACAATAAAATTTTGATTTTTAACTTCAGTAACATATCTAGTGGCAAAGTGATTAGATTTAATTGATGCATTTGAGAGGTCAAAATTGAAAATTTCAGGTGTTCCAGGAATTTTTACTCAAAATCAGTTTTTAACAAAATCAATCTAGGTTTTGGTGTAACTAAAAAATGAATAACCATTAATATTTACTTAAAATTTTTACCGAATGTTAGCCTTTTCTATAAGTATATGTTGACATTTATAAAATATTTTGACTTTTTTCAGATATTAATAAGCATAAGAAATTTTCAAATTTTTTTAATTTTCATTTAATTATTGTCAATAAAAAATGTTCCATTTACTCAAAAAACTTCAAAGTTTAAACGTTTCTCATTAGTTGTTATAAGTGTAGTAATTAAAAAAAAATTGTTAACTATAAATTCACGATTACYAAGTGTGATAATTTTGTTAAAAAATCACAAATTATTTAGAGTTAAAAATTAGGTAAAAGAATTTATATTTTTTATTTGTACTTAGAAGATTTGAAAATTTAAACAAATTCCTAACAAGTTTGTCTACCTTTATAAAAGAGTTTACCAGAATGTCAAATAGCTTTTGGAACACAAATATTTTTGAAATTGAATATTAAGTATCAACCTAAACTAACAAGTACTCATGGAATGATTTTCGTATTTTTAAATAATTAATAGAATAATCGTGGGTACTTGACTTTTTCATCAAAATATCATTTTATATTCACATTTGAAGACTCGATTTTTTTTAAATAAATATAAATAAGATAAACTTTTTCTGGATTAAAAAGCTTGAACTTAAAAAACTTAAGTTTCTTTTAAATAAAATACATAGAATTTTGAAGTTTAAATTTGAACAAAAATAGATATTTAGGTAAATGAAAGATTATAATTTTAGTTATTTTTTTGTAATTTAAAAATATAAATTTAGTATAGGCTGTAGGCTGACATACTATGTTTGCTTGGAATCATTTTTTTTGTACAATAATTTAAAGTACACCATTGAATTTAAATTTAACATATCTATTTCAGTAGCCAACAAGTCACCTCATGTATAATAGAGCAGTTAACATAAGCACATCTTTTTAAAACTATGAATAATAAAGAAATGTATTTATTTACAATTACACTAAACAAATCACAGGCTTGAGGTTGATGTAAGGTAGATTACATAAGTACATAAGTACATAAGTACTTTTTTTTAAGTCACTACTGCAAAACAGATAAACTAAAATAGATAATAATTATTACTACTGAGTAAAACACTAAAACATATTTGCATAATGGAAATAGGTAATAAGATTCAAATTGAATATTTATGTAATTTACCTATAAAAGTATCAGATGATTAATTACAGATATGAATCCAAACATTTTAAACACTGAGTCTAACTATACTAGTAACAATATAGTTATTCCTGCAGATGAATTGAAAATTAGTAGAGTAATCCCTATAGAATAATGTAAGACAGCAAATGTTTATAAAATTGTATGGCTTTGAATACGTTATTTACTTTAAAAAATTTCAAGAAATTATCAAAAYTATCTCTAAATATTTACAAACTGAAATAATGAGATATATCATTGATTTATTTTAAAGTGATTTATACTATTTCAAATCTTTAAAATACATACATTATCAATTGTCAGGTCATATTCAAAATGAGGAAGATCATCGTACAAAGACACTAAAGCCATTTTTCCATCAATATTGACTTCACAAATGCAGTTGAGTATTTTTTTTTCTTCTTTTTGATTTTTACCTCGCATTTTTGAATACAAATATCAAGCTAACAATTAACTAACATATTAAAAATATAAAAATTAAAAATATATTTAAAAAAAAATCAAATACAAATTACTTTATAAGAGTCATTATTAAGAATCAATAGAAACTAATTATTATAATGATTCGTAAAATTACAAATTTACTACTATTAATATTTTATTCATTATTTTATTATTTTAATAACTTGTAATGAAATACGAAATTACGAAAACAACAATAACAATATTAATGATAATACCACATAATGATAAAAAAATTATTGGCGCCGATTTCCAAGAGCCTGCTTACAACGCCATCTGTATGACTGTATAAAACATGGATTAACAAAATAACCACCGTTAGCACTGAAGTCCGAAAACATTCGGTGCCGGTGTGAAGAACTCATAGACAAAGACAATTTCTCTACTTTTCCAGTCTATTATAGTCTATACC